AGCAGGAATCAAGAAAGTAGCCCAAATAAAAAAAAAATTGAATAAAAATTTTGAATCTATCATTGATTTAGTGATGGAGAAATGCAGTGAACTTTCGGAGGCAAACTAAAAGTAGTTTCTCAAATTGATTTTTGAAGATGATCATATCACAGCTATCTTGCGCGTGCATCATCGGCCGTGGCTGCATTTTCACTCTAACTTAGTGGCATATGCAAAGTATTGAGTGATAAGGCGGGCCATACATCTTTCTACAAAAGTCCACAATCCTTTCTAATGGAAAAGTTCCTTTTTTTCTTCATATAAAAGCTAATCAACGTTGTGTGTGTGCGTAAAGGATACAGAAAAAGGTGGGTAATAGAAGTCGTAAATGGGAAGTGCTTTACCACCAAGACAACAACACGCAATAAAACTCCACAAAGCTAGTGGTGGCACATGGTCTATACAGTAAGGGATCCGGTCCCCATGACTCATTTTCTCCGTATTTTAAAACTCCTTTATAATAATATCACGTCACGTCAATTAGACGTTAGACATTTATTTTGAGGGAGAGAATTGTATTTTACTAAACAAAAGATACAAGCGTCAATGTGAATGAACCTCTAGTGCACGAGACAAAACTCTCAACTGAGATCAGATTCATCTATAAGATCTGATAAAGATCAGAGAGAATGACATACATACACCGAGATTCCGATAACAGAATAGTTCCTCAGCAGACCAATAATCGAGCATGCATAAGGCTCGTTTTGACAAAATCTCTACAATCGATGTAGTTCTTCAATCAATTGAGAGCAAGTAATTCGTAGCACTGAGGCCACTACTGCTCTGTATAAACACAAGTCTAACAAAACCAAAAAATCAACAAGACATAAATCTTGTAGACCGGCCACAAGTAAACTTGGAAAGTGGGAAGACCACCTTCGATATTATGGACTCGGAAACAAAAACCAAACCACAAAACACAAAATCTACAAAGTGGAAACAATACCCCCATTAAAGGAGACAAGAAAAAGGAATATGTGAGTCAAATAACCCATTAAGCTCTACAATAGAATGATGTAGAAGTACTTGTTCCCATTCAATAAGATACTAAGGCCATGTTTGGAATTGATCCCGTTTTTATTTTTCATGGTTTTTGAGAAAGAAAAAATGAAAACGTTTTTAAAACGGCATTTGGCGCAATAAAGACAAAAAGCGGAAATGAAAACGATTTTTTAGTTTAGTGTAAAATGAGAGAGAAATAAAAAATGACTTTTAATCGTTTTTCATTTTTTGTTTTCATTTTCTCCTCTCTGATGCAGAGGAAGAGAAAGAGAGACATGAATGGTTTTTTCACACTAAAAATAATCTCTTGATAAAACTATCAAACACATTTTCAAAAATGATTTCTGTCTGAGATTGAAAATGCTTTCATTTTCATTTTCATACAAAAAATAAAATTATTTTAAAACAAGTTCCAAACGCGCCCTAAAGTTCTTAAAGCACAAGGGATCCATTCTCATGGGATTATAATATCATTATTTTACGAGCTCAAATTCATAATTTATCTTAACCCAAGAAGTAAATTAGATGGATACAAATACTTTTAGAGAGTTGGCATTCGAATATATCATGTTTGTAAAAAGATTCAAGCTTACTTTACACATAAAAGTAATACAGGTGAAAAACTAGACTTCAAAAGTGATGCGAATCGTAATCTAAATGTGTTATTTTAATCTTTTAAGTTAGCCTTCAATATAAGGTTCACTTTTAAAATATGCACGAAAACGTTACATGCTCTTTGACAGAAAAGATAAAGTCTAAACATTCTTAAGAATAAATTTAGTGAAAAAGGTCTATAGCATTGAAGACCTTATTTTGGATATGATACTGAACTATTTTCGTTCAAGAAGAAATTAAATTGCCTCGAGTCTTTAGCATTATGAAGGTATTTTTCGCAAAACTTCAAGATCAAAATAGTACTGGGCGATCCATCTTTTAATGATATTGACTTCAACCTTCCGCTGCTTGACTAACCAATCTGGATCAGTTTCCTTTGCTTGAAGAATATCTAAGCAATGAGACCCTGCAAATTGATAATTTTGTCTTAGCATTAATTAATTAATTAAACTTCTACATGTAAATATAAATATATATTGTGATTTTTTTTTTTCTCTCTTCAAGTTTGCTATAAAATTCTCTGCTGGGAATCTGAATTAACTTGATACGCACCTTTGGTTGTGGTCACGGCAACAACACTCTTTGATATGTTCTCCAAGACCCTAATAGAATGATAGACAAAAAAAAAGTAAAGAAAAGCATTAATTAAGTTAATGAATTCAGGATATAAGTTTTTCTTACTAGTAATTTTATCTTGTTAGATAATTAGTAATAATTACCCTCCGCTGCTATAAGGGTCTCGCAGGCCGTTGGAGAAAATGATGTTGCTAGCAAACCTGCGGAGTATCAGCTTTATATCCTACAAAATTTGAAGTGTCAATTTTGGTGCAAGAAGAAATATTAGTAATAGTGTCAATCGCTAGCTAAGGCATATTTGGAATTGTAAAACCAACAAAAGTGATTCAGAAACATTAAAATTTCAGCTAAATTTAGCAAAAGCATAAACAAATCCATCCACGTTGCAAATGGTAAAATCCACTTTTGACAACTAGTAGTCTAATACCATTTAGTAAAGTTTCATTTTGTATTATTGAATTCATGAACCATTTAGAAAGTTTCATCATGAATTGTTTGATTATAAATATCGTGAACCTATATGTGTCGAAATCTTACAGGTTCTATAATATTAAAATAATTGTTTTGTCCTAACTTTACATCCCTAACAAGTCACAAGTCACATTTCATGTTTATGACATGTCATAAAGCTGTGTTTGCATAACGTGTATATATCATTTTTCTTAAGAGGCATGATTTGAAGAGGAGAAAACAGTCGTAAAAATAATGTAGTACATACTTTGCCTCCATAGTAAGTAGTGACCCAATGAGGGCGTGGAGGAACGTCATAAGCGGCCTTGCATTCATTTATGAAGTCCTGTAGCTCAAAAGGAGAAGCGGGAAACATGGTATTGTTGCTGATGCCTATGGGGATCACCATCTCACTGCATGTCTGTACACACACAGATATATAAATATATATATATATATATATATATATATTTACAAAAACTGGTACACAGACTAATCTCATGCATATGTGTGTAATGTATAAGTTTATTTACGGTTCCACCATCGTAACAGGTAGGTGTGAAAACGTAACATAATATTTATTTAACGTAATACTGACGTTGAAAATTTGACACGCAAAGATAATTAAATATTTTCATATAGTATTTCAACTTTCTAACATCCATATTATGTTAAATAATGTCTATATTATGTTAAATAAATGGCATGTTACATTTTTATTTTTATAATGACAGCGGAGTCGTATAACGACTTAGGTTAAAGTTCTTAAAGTAGCAAGCAATTGATACTGTTTTATTATTTTGTAAATTTTGTAAAGTATCCTTATGAAGCAAAGAAGGAAAAAAGAACCGAATGAGTCATTTCTTTCTGTTCCTGAAAATCGTTCATTCGAAAAGTTTTCTACTAAAAAAATAAATAAAATGTAAGCTGAGTGCTACTTATGGATAAGTACATCTAGTTGATATTTTTCTTTCTTTTTTTTTTTTTTCCTTTTTTGTTTCCCTTTCAATACACGATGACACAGATCTAAGGAAGAATTTATTGTATTGGCGCACGTGTATAGAGAATAATTATGTAAATGCAGGCGCACAAACTCTTATTTCAGGATATGTGATGATTGCAAGCAACGTTTTATGCCCAAAAATTGATAATAAGAACCACCCACCACAGCTTTCAAAAAGCAAATACTAAACGCCATTTAGTATTTCCATTTCTAACATTTTTTTTTCATTTTAAAAATAAAATAAAAAAACATATTTCCATTTCTAAATCGGCATTAATCTAATTATTTTTATTACTATAATTCTTTGCCAGCTATTTATATATACAATATGCTCGAAATGGCCAATCTTCGAAATTAAAAGAAGAACAATGATGAATGTAATCATCATAGAAAATAGATATTGACATTGATTTCAAATAATTTACATATTAATTTTAGGACCTACAAAATTATTATACACAAAAGTAATCATCATAGAAAATAGATATTGACATTGATTTCAAATAATTTACATATTAATTTTAGGACCTACAAAATTATTATACACAAAATTATCAGTCTTACAATTCGATTATTAATTAATTAAAAACCACTTTCACCACTACTGATATTAAAACATGAGGTAATAAATATACTTTATGTTATGTCAATGCTCATGAATAAGCAAAACTCCATGCACATTATAACTAAAAGAATTCTTTTTTTTCTTTTTTTCTTTTGTATATTTACTCTTTAAACAATAAAGGAAAAGAAAGAAGTATTTTATACATATATATTACCTGCCAATTCCAGCCCACATCAGTTTCAGAAAGATTTCGAGGTTGATTAACGTAACATGTCCTATTAGTTCTATAAGAAGCAAGGCCAGCGAATATTTTGCCCAGAATACCATCATCATTATTAGCTCCATCAATTGCTCCACATATCACATTAACTGGATATCTTGGTGGATGATTGTATTGTGCAGCAGTAGCATACGTTGATTCCAGGTGATCCTTCAGCTCTGATGACTTCTTTAAAGGACTAAATACAATTTGTATATATAATTTAACAAACTCACGGAAAAAAAAATCAACAAATTTTTTTTTTACCTTTAGGTCATATTGTTTTTTTGCATATGATCATCATACTATTATGATGTTCTAAACGAAATTCTTACATTAATAATACCAAGATCAAATTCAGGCCGTAAAAATAGAAACATATTGGAGTAGATAAAGTACGTGATGGAAATGAAAGATTGAAAACTTGTTCCAATCAAAAAATTAATCTAATTTTTATTACCGGCAAGTGTGGAATTTTTTACTCAGTAATGAGAGACCATTCGGCAAAGCAGCAACTTTATCAATTTCAGACCATGATTTTTTTATGATTTTATAGCAACTCTCGCTAGCTTCCTGCATAATTAATTTTGAGACATAAATGATTATATATATATATATATATACGAACATAGCATTGATTTCCAAAGAAAAAAGGTGAAAGAAGAATATAAAGTGTTATTACTATAAAATCCTTGGTGACAATGGAGTAGTATCCATCTTGTGATGTGATATTGTCAAAGTAAAGGATTGGAGCTGATGACGCAAGAGCTCCAAGTGCTATATGGGGATATTTCAGCCTAAACCAAGATGCTAACACTGCATATATATATATATATATATATATATATATAGAAAAAAATGTTAAACTTAATATTCGAATAAAAAAATGTACGAAAATTTCAGCTATGATGGTAAAAAACAACAGTACCATAATAAAACAATTTTTCATTCTATCCTAGGAAAGAATTTTCTTATTAATTTTTAAAATGATAAACATATATAATGAGCAACCTATGTGGTAAGGAATGATTAATGTATTTCAAGCAAAATTTTCCATGATCGGTAATACGTCCTAGTACATGCAATTAATGATGATTAATATAGGGGTTTGAATTTGAAGACTTAACTTCCTCCATAAGATCCGCCTATAACAATGACAGGCGATTTTTCTGCATGAAATTTCTGCTTTACATGTAGGAGAATTTCTGCATAATCTGCTATGGCTTGAGCCGAGTTGAAATATCCCAAAGTGCTTGCATTATTCAGTGCCTCTTCCCTTGACCCATATGGAATTGACTTCCCATAATATCTATGCTGATCAATTACCCAAAAAACAAAAAAAAACACATATACAATAATACATAAACAAACACATTCGTCTATATTTCATATATAAAAGCATACATGAATGCATATATTATGTATATAAATGTATATCACAAGAGTCTCAACCATCGATTGGGCTGAACTGGGGACGTAAAGACACCACTGATCCGAGTTAAAAGATATTAAAATCTCATTTTAAAATTAATACGGAAATTTGAATTAATAATAAGAGAGATAGAATTCTATGATTTAGATTTACTATTGTTTGATTATGATATGATGTCATGTATATATTTGTATAATATGATAATACCTCTATGTAGATTTGGAGAGCTTTAAACTCAAGGGCGTTATCAGTGAGGAATCCAATAACGGAGAGATCGCCGTCCAAAGGAGCTTCTGCTCCCAAATAAGCAAATATTGGTGCATTAGAGCCTCCCCAATACTTAGAGTTGACAACATATCGTTGTCGAAAAGTGGAGTAACTTTCTGGCCTATAGTTGAAGTGGTCGAGTGTTTGGTTGTAGAAAAACGTTTCATAATCTTCCGAAAGAGAATCCGCCGTCGGAGTTTCGGGGTCGTGAAGGAACGTTTCGTGATGACCAGTTGGACTTAGTTTCGGAATTTTATTAAGCTTTGAAGCAGAAGAGAAGACTGCGAAGAAGAGAAAGGGTAGAGAGAGAAATTGAAGGCATAAGTGCCATGAAATTATACGAGAGGTCTTCATGGCAAAAGGGTTGGAGGGTTTGGATCTTTTGCTTGTATATATAATATATATATATATATATGTGATATTTTATTAGTGCCTCTTCAACTTTAAAATCAATTTTGCTTTGTTCCATAAACTTTAAACTAATCTCATCTTAGTCCATTTTGTTAAGATTTTTGTTATAAAAAAAAAAAAAAAAAAAAAAAAAAGATCACATGACACACCCTCTTTTCCTATTGGAAATAAAGTGAGAATTTTACAATTTATAAGATAAAATGATAATGAATCTAAAATTGAAAGGGCACTAATAAAAGTATAAACATTGTAACTTATAAGGTCTAAAGCGAAAATCCAAGAAGATATTAAAACCTCCAAAAAGTCTTAAATTTAGCAAATGGGAACAAGTAATAATGACATGTTGGACTACGAAAGCAATTTTCTTTTTCATTATTTAGCGATACGTGTGTATGGATAGATTTTAGTTAATGATATCACACCAATTTCGCAAACCTTATAATGATTAATTAAGACTAGGGGCCGGCTGTTATTAATCTTCGCTGGTATGGATGACAAATGGAAAGGGACAGAGATGTGAAATTTGTGGTTGATAACCCTTCTTAAAGTTATTTTAAGTGGATTTCTATTTTTTTATTAAATTTTAAGAATATAATTTAGTTAAAAAAATTGGCGTTAATAAATTCTTGATTGATTTTTGATAAATTAATGATTGATCATGGTAAATCATTAATTACTTAATCATCAGTTTACCAACGAATATTTAATATATCAATTTACAATCACGTAAAATGTAAATGATTGGTTTCTAAATTTTTAAAAAAATATTAAAAACAGATTATTTTCGTACATATTCCCAGAAAATTGGGTTGGCAAATGTGTAACACGGACGTTGACCATTGACCTTGTCTAATTCCCCTCCAAGACTTTTTAAGTGGTTTAACTTTAGACACGTAATTTAGAGGAAGAAACAAAACAAGGCCGTATATATCCGATCTAAAACTTTCGATTGTTACAAAACCTTGTACATATTTAATTGAAATCATTATTGGCTCATTTTGACACTTCAAAGAAATTGAACGTAAATTCTGTAATTTTCTCATTTCACTTTATTCAAAACATTAATGGAAAGAATCTTTACAATAACTTTGTAACGTATAACATGTATTTATATAGTTGCTTGCCGTCCTATTTTGGTCCTTTCTTTATTATGCTTCTAAACGTCGTATTATAAATCGGATCTTTTTACGTATTTAATTACCTTTTTGGCTTAGATTGTAAGGCATGACTAATTAATATTCTTTTCCTAATTATAGCCAAGACCCCAAAAGGTCAATCCACTAGAAGCTGCTATATTCGGTAGAAACACTTGAGTCGGCAATCAGGAGTCAATAGTACTACCACAATTCCTTGTTTTTTTATTTATTTATTTTTTAAGAAAAGTTCAATTGCTTTTTTTTTTTTCTTTTTTTTTTAGAAAACTAGAAACTTTAAATTAACTTGGAAAGATCATACAAAATATAAGGTCCCATAGCCTTCGAGAAAACATTAATGACATGTTTACTTATCAGGAGTAGGGAATGAGAATTGGGATTTGGAATCAACTCTATGTTTACTTACCCATTTATATCTTAGAATGGGAGTGCAAATGTGTGGGTCCCACACCAATTTAGGGTTGAGGAATGGGATTGGCACTCCCCCCACCCCCACCGAATTGCCACTCTCATTCCTGATATTAAATACAAAGTTATGAATTTACCCTTAATTTTTCTCTTTTATTTAACTCTTTAGAGTTTATTTTCCTCTTTCTCTCTCAACCATTTACGATCTCCTCTTCTCCTCTTCTGCTGGTTCTTCAATTTGCAAGTAGGATATAAATCATCTTTTATTTTTGTTTTCAGTTTGCTTTTTTTTTTTTTTTTTGGGTTGAACACGTTGATTACTACTTTAGTTAGTTTTGCTGTTTCTGTGCGTGTGATGATGGCTACCAAATAAATTACAACTATTCCTCCTTTTTCTTTTGCTTTTCAAGAATAATAAAGACAAATAAGAGGGATTTGCTGTCAAGATTTTGGACGTACATTAATAATCTTTTTTCCTTATTTTAATTTAATTTGTTATGCCTAGGTTTTGGATGGATTGCATTCCTAGGTTTTGGACGTACATAAATAATGATTCTAGTACTCTAGTTTTTTTTTTTTTCTTTTTTTCTTCTAATTTGATTCTTGTGTTATGTTTATTGTTGTTCATTTTTATAATATACAATATAATACTAAATCTAATTTTATATGTTGATAATGTAGAGTACTCATGTCTAGACTTTTAGTACGAAAGAAGAGAGTGGTTGTAGTGATAAAAGAGATAGTTATGATGTTACAAATGATTATGGTTGTGTGTGCTGCTATGTGTACCTATATTTCTATTTATTATGAACGAAGGATACGAAGCCCAAAGATGGTTATAAGGGTTTATCAACAATTAGGTCACTTGTATGATTTGGTTTACGAAAGTGATATCAAGTGTGTGGCACAATTAAGAATGGATAGAGAAACGTTTAGAAGATTATGCAAGCTTTTATGTGAGAAAGGAGGTTTGACAAGCACAAGAAATGTAGCTATTGAGAAGATGCTTGCAATGTTTTTGCACATCCTAGCACATCATGTTAAGAACAGGGTGATTAGTTTCAATTTTAAGAGATCCGGAAGAACGATTAGTAAATGTTTCCACAAGTGTTTAAAAGTAATTATTCGGTGTCAAAAAGAATTTTAGAAAAACCCAGAACCAGTTTTGGAGAACTCAACTGACCTTAAATGGAAGTGGTTTAAGGTATGTGTTCTCTTTTTTTATTATTTTGAAAAAATTTGTTTTAAATTATATTTGTGTTCTTAAAATTTTATGCTTCTTTTTCATAATAATATAGAATTGTTTGGGAGCATTGGATGGAACGTATGTAAGAGTTCGTGTGCCAGAGGCAGACAAATCAAGATATAGAACAAGGAAAAATGAGATTGCTACTAATGTCTTAGGAGTTTGTTCACAAGACATGCAATTTATATATTGTTATGGAATTCTTCAATTTCAAGATTTATGCAACTTTGTTATATGGTTTACTTATATTTTATACATTACTTGTTCATTTTTTGTTTAGAATGAGTTCCATTCTAGCTTCTTCAACTCAAAGAGGACGAGGTCAAAATAAGCATTATTGGACAACACAACAGGATGACGCACTGATAAAGACATTGTCTGAATTGAGTCAAAACGCGATGTGGCGGGCTGATTGTGGTTTTAAAAATGGGTATTTGCTTCAATTGGAGACAATGATGGAGGCCAAATTACCAAGTTGTGCCATCAAAGCATCTCCTCATATTGAATCTCGTGTGAAATGGTTTAAGCAAAAATATTGTGCAATGACAGATATGTTGTCTCTTAGTGGGTTTGGATTGGACAATGATAAGATAATATTACAATGTGAAAAAAATGTGTATGATGAGTATGTTAAGGTACGTGTAATAAACTTTTTTCACAATGGTTGTTACTTGGTTGTTATTTAGTGAATTAACAAATGTTAGTTAACTTGTTTAACAAAACGAAAAGATGCTGCTGGTTTATATGGAAAACCTTTTCCTCATTATTACACTTTGGGTGAAATTTATGGACGTGATCGAGCTACAGGCATTGGTGCTGGAAATGCAGATGATGATGAGGAAGAGGTCCGCCAACAAGATACCATGAATGTAAATTTAGGTGTTGACTCAAATATGAATGCATTTGAAGAGAATTTCATGGAAAATGATATGTACTACAATCAGCAACCAAGTGTTCAACAGGGCCAACCATCTGAAAGCTCTCCAAGCGTTTCCACTCACAAAACAAAGACCAAAGGTAAAAATAAAGACAAGATATTTGAGAACATGTGCTCCAACATTGGGTCGATGGCCAAATCTGTGGCAGCAATGGTACCCAAATTAGATGGTCTCATTGATGTGCTTTCCACTGCTGACAAGGATTTAGCTGGATTACAAGCCAACTTGTATCAAGAAATGTTGAAAATTGATGGCTTAGATGATGATCATGTATATGATGCCACCAATATTTTAGCAACAAAGCATGATTTGCTACGTGTATTCTACAACATTCCGGATCAACTCAAGAAGGGATACATCCTCAAAATTCTTAGTCGTGGGGTTTAAGTATTAGATTAACCAATTATTAGTTTACTTAGATTATTCCGGATATATTTTTCGATTTATGACTTGGAACTTATGTTTGAAAGTTTATGACTTAAAACTTAGCTATTTTGTTCTTATTTTATTTCATCATCATATTCTTTTCTTGAAATTGAATTAAAATTTATTGAGAAAAATAACTTAGATGAATAATTAGGTGTGATTAAAAAAATCTAATTACTAGTTAGTTATTTTAATATATAGTTAGCATAATATACAAATTTTTTTTTTTAAAGTTGAACACACAAAAATCTACTAAAAGGGTAGGTAAGTAAATTTATAACAGTTTATTCTGATTCTGAGTGTAAGTAAACGCATGAATAGGATTGTGATTGATTCCGATTCTAATTCCTAGAACCTAAGTAAACAGCTTATTTTGACTCCGATTTCTGACTCTGATTCCTGCCCATTCCGAATTCTGTCCACTCCGATTGATGTCCACTCTGATTACGAATAAGTAAACATGGTCTAATAGAAAAGAGCTTTGTAGACAACCGAAAAACATAATTAGCTAAAAATGGGCCACTCTATTCCCATTACGGGCAATGTAACAAACAGTATCACTTTGCGCTCTAGAAACACAATCTTGAATATCTGCGATGATATTTGATTCAAGACCATGATCTGGAGGGCCCTGAATGGCGCGAATCATATTGATAGCATCCGATTCAAGGATCCACTTGTTAAAACCAAGCCGTTCAGCCAGCACCACACCCTCTCTTGTTGCAAAACATTCTGCTATATGCAAGGAAAAACGTCCATCCGTCCTCTTTG